TGCCAATTACGATCATATCCGATCGAGATCCCAGATTCACCAGCAGATTCTGGGAGAGTTTGCATGAGGCAATGGGCACCCAGTTAAAGTTCAGTTCGGCTTACCATCCAGAGACGGACGGGCAGTCCGAGAAGACGATCCAGACACTCGAGGATATGCTCCAAGCCTTGATTCTGGACAGAGGTGCTAAGTGGGAGAAGTGGCTACCACTAGTTGAGTTCGCCTATAACAACAGTTATCAGGCGTCTATTCAGATGGCTCCCTCCGAAACACTTTATGGCCGCAAGTGTCGGTCGCCCCTTTATTGGGATGACGTCGGAGAGCGACGAGTACTCGGTCCGAAGTTGATCGAGGAGACAGTTGAGCAGGTAGCCTGGATCAGAGAGAGGCTCAAGACAGCCCAGAGTCGGCAAAAGTCCTCAGCCGACAAGCATAGACGAGAGATGCACTTTGAGCCCGGAGATCATGTTTTCCTGAAGGTTCGACCAATGAGAGGTGTCGTTCGCTTCGAGAAGAGAGGGAAGTTGCATCCTCGCTATATAGGCCCGTTCAAGATTCTCGAGCGAGTAGGCTAAGTCGCCTATCGAGTAGCTCTGCCTCCTGAGTTGGCTGGCGTGCATAACATGTTCCACGTTTCGATGTTACGCCCATACGTGTGCGATCCCGAGCATGTGCTTCAGCACAACGAGATTCAGCTTTAGCCAGATTTGACTTACGAGGAGCAGCCGGTAGCAGTGTTGGATCGAAAGGTCCTTCGGCTCAGGAACTGAGACGTTCCCCTCGTTCGTATCAGATGGAATCGCCACGGAGATTCAGATGCCACTTGGGAGCGCGAGGCAGACATCAGAGCTCGTTTTCCAGATTTTCAGTTCTGATTGTATCCAGTTGTATGTTGTTCCCAATTCAATTCGAGGGCGGAAATATTTTAAGGGGGATAGATTGTAATAGCCCAATTCTGTATTAATAAAATGACAGTTTTTAGTTCCAAGTTGAACTATTTCTTTTTATTAATACTGCTCGTCTTGAGTTCCGAGCCCAGTTATCTGCTATTCAATCTCAGTTATTAATTTCGGTCCATTTATTTTTAGAAATGGATTTTATTAAGTTCGAATTAATTATTCCAGTTGACGAATAATCGAAACCGAGTATGTTTCGATAAATCGTCCAAGTCTAGCCGTGTCTGGAACCGAGTCGTTCGGTCACGAGTATCGCGCCTAGTTCGCGCGTAGCTAATTCTCGAGCTCTAGTAGTCTCGAGTCTTGTGCGAACCCTAGCCGTGCTCATAGCCTTGCTTAGAATATTTTCTAAGTATGAGATCAGTATTATCGAACCTAAGTCATAATTCACTCGGTCAAGTATGCCGCACCTAGCTCGTGCGTGGCCCCGAGATCACTCGCGCCTAGGGTTCGCGAGTTAGGGCCAAAGCCGTGCCAAGTTTGCACCAAGTCATTACCGGGTATTAAGAGAATTTTCCTAAGTATTTTGGTTCCTTAGATGAACCACAAGTTCAGCCCTAACCAAGAGTTACCCTCGGCCAAGCATTTCCGAGCCCGAGCCATGAGTCACGCCCTAGTACCTGCGCCTTAGCCCCTCGTGCGTGTGCTTGCATGGGCCCAAGTCTTGGCCATGTTTTTCCAAGGATTTTTCTAAGTGTGGAGGCTCATTAGGTCAGCCATTATTCAGTCCAGCATGGCATTACTACTCGGCCCAAGAGTGGCATTTTATTCAGCCCGCGCTCTAGTGTCCCGCGCCCAGCAGGCCGCGCCCGTGTCCCTCGCGCCAGGCCTAGCGGCAGCATGGTGGTCCATCTTCTCGAGCCCAATGTGGAGTTTTTCGGCCCACTTCTCCAGGGCCCAACTTCATGCGTGTATTAAGGGGTGGATTAGGGACTAATTCAGCTAATATTTCCCTAAGCAAGTTTAAGGAATGGTCACCTATCATTAAGCCATTGTGGAGCATGTGCAAACTAATATTATAACGTTAATGGGTTTGGAATTGTCCCCCACTCACCTCCAGCCGACCAGAATCCTTCTCCACCAAACATGGCCTGCCAAAACCACCAGGATTCCCCTCCAAGACCGTGCCAAACCAGTCCCAAGGTAAGATCCTCCATGCCTTGCGCGTGAATTGAGGGAGTGGGCATTTTGTATCCCCTATCTTGTGTCTTTGTTCTCTCCGCCCAGCTCCACCTATTTAAGACAATCATTAGCTGAGTGTTGAAGCTCTTGGTCATTGGAGAAGTCCCAACACTTAAGAATTTTGAGGGCAAAACCAAGAGCAAGTATCAAACCCTTAGCGCGCGCGAGTGTGACCCGAGGAGGAGGTGAGCTCGGGTTCAGCTTGGTCCAGCAGGATTCTCTTGAGCCTTATGATCATCCAGGTATTTGTTGGATTTTTATAAGTCTCCAGAGTTCATCCCTTCAGCCATATTAGCTCCAAGCCGAGCCTAAGGACCATTGACCGCGGGTGAGCCCTAGAAGGCCACTCTTGCACCATTTCGTGTTCGAGCAAGGTAAGCTCCTACCTTTCATTTTTCCCAGCTTATTCATGATAAAATAAGAATTATCATGTGGAGAAATGATGCCATGCATGTTCATATGAGGGAGTTTCGAATTTTTGAACATATGAGCCCTAATTTCGTTAGTTTATGTATATGCATGATATGGCCGAGTTTGATGACTTAAAAATCCTCAAAAATCATGAGTATGACTTGGTTAAAAGATTAGCATGCTTTGAGTTCATTTGTTCGGTCAATTTGTTAAGTGAAATCGAGTCATTTTCACCTCCGAACCCAAGTCTATATGCATGCATGATATAGCCAATGTCCTAGCCTCAATAGCATTGATTTTTGATGTATATCTTTCGGCCCTAAGTCATTTTGCATGTTGAGCATGTTCATTTTCGTGCCCTAGTGTGGCCTCGTGCCTAATCGGCCCTATAAGCCCATCCCCAAATCCAACCGAGGTTCCTCAGTGACTTTTGACATTTTTGAGTATATTACGTCATAATAAGTTGGGTTGGTTCAGTAGTCACCGGAAAAGTTGCCGGAAGTTCGACAAAGGACCGGTTAGGGTCACCAGCCGTGCCAGTCGTAGAGGACAGGCAGTGCCTTTGTCCGTGCCCGCGCCTAGCGCTCGCGAGGCACCGCAGTCCCCAGCGCACGCGACAGCGCCCAGCAGCGCCTGTCCGTGCCAGCCAGCGAGGTCTCAGCGCCAGTCGCGCCAGAGCACCTCCGACGGCGCCCGGCAGCGTTGTCCCAGTGTGAGTGCACGCGTGTGTTAGTGTTATATACTGAAAGCTTGGTTTTGCATGTTATTACACATTTACCCTTTATGAATGAGAATCATGTTAGATTAAACAAGTTCTAAGTTCTGTTGTTCTACACTTAGATAGGGTGGGTCGTCATCGGGCGAACCGAAGATCACGCAAAGGACCGACTAGGGTCACCAGCCGCGCCAGTCGCAGAGGACAGACAGTGCTTCTGTCCGTGCCCGCGCCTAGCGCCTAGCGCTCGCGAGGCACCTCTCAGTTGACCTCGACTGTGCCTAGTAGCACCCGAGTGGCACCAGTTGTGCCCGTGGCCGTGCCCAGCAGCACCCGAGTGGCCCCAGTGTGCCAAGGCCGTGCCAGCCAAGCCTGGCCGTGCCTGTCCGCGCCCAGCAGTGCCTAGTGCCGAGGCCGGTCGCACCCAGCTCGTGCCCAGCGCCATGCCAGGGCCCCAGCAGGCCCGGCACGGGACCGAACCCGGCCAGTGCAAGTAGCCCGTGACCACCCGGTCTAGAGTGAACCAGTGGTCCGACCCGGTCCGGTTCAGCCCGACCCGGTTCATCCAGTTAAAGAACCGGCCGGTTTAGCCAGCGGTTCGAGTCTGTTTTGGTTCGTGATTTTCGGTCCGAGTTTTATTCCGAAATCTAAGTGATTTTCCGAGCCAAACCAGATCAGTTGAGCTTATCAGTCTAATTTTCGGACTTAAAATTATTTTAGTGAACCCATAGAGCGTTCCTTCATATCCGGATGAGTAATCTGATAGAGTAGAGCATCCTAGCATATTATTGAGCATATGACGAGCATAGTACTTAGTACATTTGTTTGCTTATATTTTTATGTAGCTTGAGGAGTCAGCTACCAGCACAGCCGCACTTACCCATTTTCAAAGCAGATCAGGTGGGGACCCAGTCTGGGTTATACATTGAGTATAATAGTCGATATCACGTTCAGGTATGTATATGAGTTTTATCCGCTTGGGGTTAAGGCTGAGTTGTCCTTCCCTAAGTTCTGGTGGTGGTCCAGTTCGCCTTAAATATATCATCAGAGTGTGCACACGGTACCGGCCAGAGTGTCCGGGAGTTACCGGCCAGAGTGTCCGGGAGTTTCAGTTACTTATATATACCAGATCTGTGATATCATTATTATTATTGTTGTTTACTTTAGAATGAATTTTTATGGAGTACAAGTGGACCGTACTCACCCCCACTTTATATTTTCAGATGGCAGGGTCGGCGGGCAGGCGTGAGTCCAGCTGTGGTGGTTGTGGTCGTGAGTTCCGTACGAAAGCTGTTCCCGGGACATTTGTTATCGTTTTGTATAACTAATATTTCCACGCATTTTCAGACTTTCCGCTATGCTTGCCTTTATTTCGAACTTGCATGACAGTACACTCAGACTTAAATAATCTACCCAGTTCGCCAGTACGAACGGGACCAGTTAAAATGCAAGATTCGATAAAATATTTAAATCTAATTTCTTAAAGTCTAAACCAGTTGATAGACTAGTTACGGAAAACAGATTTTCAAAGCAAATAAGTTTTTAGCGGCATCCCGAGATACGTTTGCAAATGATTGCGAAAAATTTATAAGAGTTTTCGAAGGTCAAAGTTTGCGAAAAATTGGCCCTAAGTAGCGGGGTGTTGCAAATGTGTTTTACATATTTGTTTGGAAAAACACAATGGGATAGCCGAGATGCTCGAGGTTTTTGGGAGTGTGATTACGGGCTTTTCTAGCATAAAATATTCTTTTGGCGGGCTTTGCTTGCTCCACAGGCCCAAGTCGTTGGGGGTTTATTTTCAGCAGCTTTCGTATTGCGTGACTCAGTTTGTAGAGAAGGAGCCTAAGTTGGCTAGTGGTGTTATAATGGGGCTGTTGAGGTGTTGGCCGATTACGAATAGTCAAAAGGAGGCTATTTTTTTAGGCGAGGTTGAGGAGATTTTGGAGGTGATCAGCATTGGCGAGTTTCAGAAGATTATGGTTCCGTTGTTCAATCGGATTAAATACTGCATAACTAGCTAGCATCTTCAGGTTTNCACTTTTTTCAGTAATTTTTATATTTTCCAGTTGTTCATCTAAGTTTTATAGGTGGCACTAGTTATATTTCAGTCTTTCAGACATGCTTTATATATCTAGCTTTCCACTGAACAAAGTAAAAAGATAATGCACACATTATTACATTGATTTGCCTTCTTGTTCTGTTATCAGTTGATGGTGGTGTTTATTTGACTCTTGACCTAATGTGTATTCATGCTCGTTGCTTATGGATGATTTTGCCTTTCACTTTCTCAGGAAGTTAGCTGTTTTATTGCATTTCGCTCGTTTTTATCTCATAATCTTTCATTTATTGTATCTTTAAGCAATGCAGCTCATTCACAAAGTTTCATTTTTTCTCTCTTGACTCTTACATATAATCCCTTTAAATGTCTCTCTTGAAAACGTTCGACTGCATAAACTCACGACTGTAAGATCGAAAACCGGGATTAGTTGTTGTGATTTTATCTGGCAAAATCTATATATATATATATATATATATATAAAGGTTGTTGTTAAAATACCTTTTTAGAAACTTTTGACCAAAAAAAAAAATTTTGACAATCTAAATATAGAAACCATATTTACTGCATTTATAATACACGAAATTTTAAAAAAGTCATACTTCAATTCAAAAATTTGTTTATTAGAGATATTATTGGGATTGTGGATAAGTCACAATTGGATCATAATTATCATTACATGATTAATTTAAAAATTAATTGATTAGAGATATTATAGGGATATGTGGATAAGTCACAATTGGATCATGATTATTATTAGAGATATTATTGGGATTGTGGATAAGTCACAATTAGATCCATAATTATCATTACATGATTAATTCAAAAATTACTTGATTAGAGATATTATAGGGATATGTGGATAAGTCACAATTGGATCCATAATTATTATTACATAATTATGATTGTTTGGTATAAAATCATATGCGCTACCACTACTCAACAATTCACGTCATTCACAGTTTAGAAAAAAAAAA